AAGAATAAGCAAATTGAGCTGTGAATGGACAAAACCTAGTTTCCAAACTAAGCAATTAGTAGAGAGTATTAAAGTATTCATTAATTTTTTTAAAAGACAGTAACAGCAATCCAGTGCATGGAGGAGAATCATACCTGTAGTCAGTCAGATGCTTATGAACAGTACTGAAGTACAAGTGGCATATCTTAAAATAAATGTGGGCTGGTTTGAGAATTGTTCAAAAGTAAGAAATAGAAAAATATGTATGTTTTGATTGCTTATCTTCAAATGGCAGACTTACTGTGCAGAGAACAAGGGGGCAGGCAGGGGAGCTGCATTCATCACCTGTACGTGGTAGGCATCTCATAATGACAAAAAAAAAAATAATCATCTTTACACCTGGCCTTTACACAGTTCTCTGAGCAGTGAAGAGCAGATACTGGTATGCAGTATCAGATTGCTCATGTCCATATATCCTGTCTCAATATACTGTAGAACATTTATATTCTACTGTTTTACTACTAGAAAACAATAAACTGCAAGTGTCATAATAAATCAAAGTACCTTTTTGCAATACCAATACTTTCTAAAACTTGAGATTTTGTAATGAGTCTGCCAGCCATGGACGCATGTGAACAAAACCCTACCAGGATGTGTACATTTTACCTTATCTGCCTAGCCAAGACCACAAGGGGAAAAAAACCACCACCTTAGTGTCTAGACACCAGTCTTTGAACTTGACTAGCCTTAGAACATTGTCACTCTACTCCACTTAATGGGATATCGATTTTTTATACTTCACTCTCTGCAAATCAATATTCTAATAGATGCACAATAGACTGGCAGGAGGACAGAGAGTATATGCCCACTAACCTGCCGGAGATGATTATCCAAAAATGAAGGTCAAATCAAAGGAAAATTTAAACCTGGCATGAGAAGGACTGCAGCACAGAGTCTGTAAACAAGGAAATAAAAATGTATCTAACTAGAGAAGGAAGAAGACACAACGTAAAGAGAGCTGTAATAAGGCAGCTAACAAACTCTCAGCCTAGGAATGGCAGACTAAAGTCTCTTTGGACTGTCTGCACTCAATGCCACAATTTAAGAAGCACTTCAGATCTCCTCCAGGAAACATCTCCAGTATATCACACAGGAGACTTACTTCTTTTTAAAGTAAAATAGCAAGTTTAAATATCTGAGAACTATCTAAACAGCCTATTCAGAACAAAGTCAGACAGAAATCATGTGCAATGTAAAATAAAATACTTAAAAGGAGTACCTTATTCTTCCAGAGATCAGATCTATAGAAAACTAGGAAGTCGAAGTGAGCCTTCAAAGAAGCTCTTTTAGCAAAAGGCTTTCTTCTGATATCTTTCCGGCGCAGGCAGCGAACAACTTCTTATGCTATGGAATTTAAAGTAGTCATCTTGCATGGCCTATTAACTTGTTAATGTAACTTAAGGCAAGTCTGAGACAGAAAATATTCCAATGGTCCAGCCAAACAGACAACCGATGCAAGAGTATTCCTGGGGCAGAGTAGCCCAATACACCAGAGCACCAGGAACTGAGTGGGGATCCCACTGAAAACCACCTCAGGGGTTACATCAGAAGCCAAGCTGCAAATAAGCCTGAAGTGCACTCTCTCTGCAAATAAGGCAAACCCTACACCAGGCTACACAAGGAGGAATACAGACTGAGGAAGTTATTAATGCTCTCTACTTGGCATGATGAGGTAGGAATGCAAACTGTGGCCAGCTGTTGGCCCTCCAGCTCAAAAGATATGTAGAAAAATTGGAGATGATCCAACAAAGGGCTACCCAGGTGGCCAGAAGACTAAGCACGTGACCAATAAGAAAAGTTTGAGGGGCCTACACTTGCTTATTCCGGCAAGGAGGATACTATGGGGTAATCCAAAGGAACGCTATGAAGAGCAATTACAAAGATAACAAACTCCTCTTCGTAGTGATAAATAATGCGTAAAGGCAAAAAACTGCAGCTAGGGAAGTTCAGATTTGATATTTTGAAAAAACTCTCACTGGAGGGGGAGGGTGGTACAGCCCTGAAACCGCTACCCAGAGAGGCTGTGAAATCTCAGGCACTGAGAGTTTTCCAGAAGTCAGCTCAAGAAAGCCACAGCTGACCTGATCGAGTACTGGCAACACTCCCAGTTAAAGAAAGGGTTGCACCAGATGACCAGAGTTCCCTTCCAAGCAACAGTACCGATCATGACACTATGAATACATGAAATTACTGTATTATGTATTAACCACCTGAGACTGCTTAGCTTCCACCACAGAGACATTAGAAAGACATTTCTTAGGAAAAGCTTCCTTAATTCCAGGGCCTTCTGCCTACCAGAAAAGACAAGAAGCTTTGTATCTAATTTCTTCTACACTAGGACAGTGCCTAGTTTTCTGAGCACAGCTCTTACTTGCAGTCTGATGAGTCACAGGTTCACATACACCCATGAGCTCCAACACTTTATTACAATATACAATATCAGACACAAAAATTCAGTGAAGTGAGATGAAAACAGCTCTCAAATGAACTCACTTTTCCAGGCACAGTCAACCTTCCAAATTCCAATTATCAGATAGATATTAAGAAACATTAAAAACTTCAGAGAACAATCATAAAAATGATAAATGAGCAGAAAGCATTATTTATACAGGGAGAAAAAACGACAGCTAAATGCATGCAACATAACAAAGAAAAACGATTCATACAGTCTCATCCTAGAGACAGCATAGTGTGTTCCGAAAGAAATTCACAGCTGCACCAGGTGCCTTAGTTCAGCACCACAAAGTTCACATACAGTTCACTCAGCTACATTTTAAGCTTTCTTTCAACAAGAATTTTACATAACAAATTAGAATGAGCTTTCATCAATTTTTCACCCAACCTGGACATCTCAACAGTTCAGCCCATTCATAGTTCAATACAATAGAAGCCCTGAGTGGGAGAAGGAGGAGGAGGAGGAAAACAGTGGATTTTCCATGACCTTTTGCTGATAACCAAAACCCTGTCTCCTGTACATGTAAGCAATCTGCTTCTTTTACTACAGAGTAATGACTCATTAATTCTGTCATTTAAAAATGGAAAATAATTCCATCTGGCACGAAGGATTAGCAGCCAAATTACGTGTGTCTTGATCTAAAGGTCAATTCAGCAATAACAGAAAGCCCTAAACTACAAAACCAAAGTGTATTTCAGCATCTGCAATCACTCAACGTTTCAGCATCTATCTCATAAAATTGATCTACTGCCTTCCCCACAATGAGAAGTGCTCACAGGATGAAAGCATGAACCCCAAGAAGGCAGAGCTCAGGAGGCATCCACGGGAAGCAGATGTACTGCTGCTCGGGGGGCACAAACCAAGAGTAACAGGCTGTGCCTATTTAAAGCCTTCCACCATTTTCATTCCAGTCCGTTACCAAAAGCTCAAGTTACAGGTACATTTCCTTTACATTCATAGCAATATACACTGATCCAAGGATTAAACTGATCAAAGTCTTCCCCAAAATTACACTGGCCAGATAGTGGGAGGCACTGACCTTCTATACCTTACCTTCTCTTACAGGCTGAGCACAATCCTGAAAAATCCCTGTTCATTATCTTCCTATCAAGTCTGCTATCCCCATTAACTGTCCAACCCACAAACATGGACTTCACTGCCCAATCTCACCTGTAACTCCCCTGGTGTTGCTCTGCTCCTCTTCACAGGCAGGAAGAAGGGGACACAATAGTTGAAGATTCTTTCCATTTCCTGGATGTTGCAAAAAAAAAAAAGGATAAGAAAAGTCACGTCAGTAATCACTGCAGGGAAAGAGAGACACAAATTATACGTTGTTGGAAGAGCACAAAGCATTCTCCAGGGATTTCTATCTCCCAAGGAGCTCATTTCTGGATGCAGTAATTCATTTCAAAAGGAAAAACACGGAGTTCATACAAAGGGGAAAAGGAGGTGGAAAGATGGCAAGAGCTCCCTCAACCTTAGGCCACAAAACAGCTGACCGAAGAGCCAAATACAAAAGCTAGCAGAACCACCAGCATCTGAAGAACACAAGCCTCGTTCTTTTTTCCTAGCCACAGCTGTTTGCTGTTCACAGAGATGAGGCAACACAAATCTTGAGTGCTTTACTCTTATCATGCTGCACAGAAGTAATTTTGTTATGATTGCTTTAGAACATCATACATAGTACTGGCAAGGTCCCCCAGACCGTGCCAGAGCTTGGTTCCACTGGTCTGTATCTTCTTCCATCCAGAAAGCTAATTTAACTGTATTATCTCCTAACAAAGTAGCCAAGGGGAAGAGTAGGGCCTTGCTCAGCATTCGTGTAGGTACAAAACCTACCAAGTCTTTTTACATCTGGACAGGAGGAAGCCACTATTTCTACTGCCCAGCTCCAGCTGGCAGAATTTCTAGGCTTTTTAATATCTGAACACAAGACCTCCCAGCCACGTTAGAGAACTTATTAACTTATTAAATATATATATATATATATATAAAGGTTTAATTAAAATAGTAAGCCAGCCAGGAAAAAATTAAAAACCAAAAAAAAAAACCTCAAACTCTAATACACTCAAAATAAGCAAGGATCTACAATCCCATGAAGATTTAAAATACCTCAATAGTTTGTAACGGACACCTAAAATGACTTGGGTTTGAGTACTTTCAAACACATCCCAGAGAGCCGCACCAGCTTCTGGAGGAACAACCCCATTGCAGGAAGCGACCCACGGTGACAGCCACACCGCCTTCCCCCAGCCCCTGCCCAGGGGCCGCCTCATGCCCCGGGCGCCGAACAGCGCGGAGCTCCCCTCAGCACCCAGCAGCCTGGCCTCGCTGATGGAAGGCGCCTCACAAAATGGCGGCTGGCCGCCCAGCGCCCCTTCCCGCGCCGCCGCGCTAAGCGACCACCGCGCCTGCGCGCCCCTCGCCTCACACCCTCCGCCCAACCCCGGAGCGGCTCCGGCCCGGCTGGCCAATCCGCAGAGAGCCGGGGGGCGGGGCTGCGGTGGTGGCGGGCGGGTCCATGGCGGAGCTGAGTGCGGGGCTGGAGCCGGTGGCCGTGGCGGTGTGGCCGCCCGGGGAGGCCCCGCCGGCTTTTCAGGTACGGGCGGGGGCTGCGGCCACCCCAGGGACCGGGCCGGGAGGAGAGGGGGAAGGAGAAGGGGCCAGCGCGGCCTGGGGCCCCTCGGGGAGCGCGGTGGCCGGCGCCGTCCCCGTCCCCTCAGGGAGCGCGGTGGCCGGCGCCGTCCCCGTCCCCTCAGGGAGCGCGTCCCGGGCACCACAGCCGCTGCCCGTCCCGGGGTAACGCTCAGCAGGCGGCTGTGGGGTCGTAACCCCTCCGCGGCCAACCCTTCGGCGCTGGTTTTTCCCTTCTTCCTTAGCCGTGCGCTTCAGATACGCATACATACTTTTTCCTTCTCAGTGTGCGGTATTTTGTCGATTTTAATCGCGCGGTTAAGATGTCACCTTTTAGGAATAAAGCTGTTGCGCTGCAGGGCGCTCTCGTGGACCATAAACTGAAACTAGATGGGGAGTAAAAATGTGGCAGGCTTGGCAGGTGATTCCCACTGCACAAGCACCTGAAGTGGTTTACAAGAAAAGTTATAATGTAGAAATACAGGACAATACTTTATACTCTTAACTTTCTAAATATTTAACTCTTAACTTTTTCATACTCTCAGGCATAGTCCAGTTTCTGCCATTTTCTGTATTACTTGTAGTAAGTTCTAAACACGTTTCGTGGAAGTACACCTGACTGCCTAGGACTTTGCTTCAGTGATACTAGAGAGTCTTAAGAAAACAGAATGAATAAGCTTCTAGAAAGCCTGAGGAAAAAATAAAAGACCTAAACCAGATAGATACACCCTAAATTGCATGATGTTTTGGTATTTGACAGAAGTAGGAAAAATTGTAGTCAGTGACTGAGAGAAGATGGGAGTAGATAAGGGACTACTTAACTTGCTTTTGAATAAACCCAAATGACTGAAAAGCTGATGTTTATGAAAAATAGAAACTTCCAAATGTACTGGCATGTTTTGCAACACCCAGAAGCTACCAGACATAAGCTACTGTGAAATGTAGTGTTTAGTAATAGCACATACTCCAAGTTTGTAAATAAAGCTTTGCAAGCTGAATGCTGAGAAGAAAGTGAAAATATACACGTAGCTGTCTTTATATTTTGATTTTCAAATTCAGCAAAGTCGCTGGTTTTATTTTGCAACACTCCATGGTTCTATAGTCGTTCACCTGCTGGGGGCATTAGTGCAATTTTGAAAACCTGATTTTCAGTTTGGATTGTGTCAACCGCATCTATTCTCACAGACAGAATTTAGGGTGAAGGAAGCACCGTCTCACCTTCTACCCTGACAATAGAGCTCAGCTTTTTTGCAAATATGTAGAGGTGTGCTAATGCAACGCCATCATCACTTTCTAACAGAATTAGCAGGAGCAGGGTTGAATGTAACATTTTGAAGAGGAAAAATAAAAGGATCTTAATTTTTAACAAAAAAAGGCATTTGAAATTCTGTGCCTTAAAATAGCTATAGACTAACCTTATAAGTAGATTTAGCAAGCATTTTGAAGGGGGGGGAAATTACTTTAAAGATACTTTGCTATTTCTGTAAATAAAATTCGTATCTAATAAACAAGATCAATTAGCTGACATGTTTTACCAGCTATGAAATTTTTTTTTCTGGCTAGTAGACTATTTTGAGAAATTCAGTCACTAACAGACTATAGATTCTTTTTTAGTCTATATGGAATATCTGATTTTCATTCTTAAAAATTATTTAGAAAAGTTAGACTTGTAGGTAGAAGTTTACAGGAAAATGAAGTGTTTGTGACTTTGGTTCAGTCATCAGTCATTGTCAGACACAGACTTCTTAAAAATCCGATAGCCTCAGTGGAAAGAAGCGTTGAGCATGACAAGGATTTGACTCTTGTTGTCTTCACAGTATAGCCCAGACAACGTGGCTGGAGCAGACAGAGACATTGACCCCACTGAAATCATCTTTCCAGGCTGTTCTTGCCTTACCAGCTCCTGTGTGGTTCACGTGTGCTCGTGTCTTCGCCGTGGTGAAAATTACAATGGTTTGTGCCTCAAGCCTACGGAGAAAGAGGAGGAGTATGCCAGGCCTGTTTTTGAATGCAATGCCATGTGCCAGTGTGGTGAATCCTGTCAAAACAGGGTTGTTCAGAGGGGTTTGCAATTCAGACTTGAGGTATTCAAGACTGAGAAGAAAGGGTGGGGTCTTCGCACTCTGGAATTCATAGCTAAAGGAAAATTTGTTTGTGAATACGCAGGTGAAGTTTTAGGCTTCAGTGAGGCACGTAGAAGAATTCAGGCCCAGACGTCAAAGGATTCGAACTATATTATAGCGGTGAGGGAACACCTGCATAGTGGTCAGATACTGGAAACATTTGTTGACCCTACGTACATTGGTAACGTAGGCAGATTCCTGAATCATTCTTGTGAACCAAATTTATTTATGGTGCCAGTTCGAGTTGACTCAATGGTGCCTAAACTGGCACTTTTTGCAGCCACTGATATTTCTGCTGGAGAGGAACTTTCATATGATTATTCTGGAAGATTCCACAATTTACCAAGAACTAACAGAGAACAAAAATCTTTAGAGGAAGACAACAGATTGAGAAAACCTTGCTACTGTGGTTCCCGCGCATGTGCTTCCTTCTTACCTTGGGACAGCTCCCTCTTTTCCACACCAGACACTTGTTCAGGGAGCTCTCCGTAGCTTTTCAGTCCCTAAGTGTACTGAACAAGTATCATTTCCCCTAGTAGTTAAACTGCAGTTAAATAAAACTCTTGATTGTGTATTCCACCAAGGAAGCACGTGTGGTTTTGAATAACAGCTAAAAGACAAGACTGTGAGAAAAACTTCACGGCGACGTTCTAGAGACTTGTTTTCACAGTGGATGAATGAGCACTGGAGCTTCAGGATGTTCCAAAATCAGTTACTAAGCCAGGCCTGGCGGTGGGGTTTTTTTGTGATTTTCTTCTGACAGCTTGCTGTATGTTAAAGCACCTCTCGCAGTTTGTACCTTTCAGAAAAAATGAACTTGTGACGTTGGTACACAGAAAGGAGATGTGATAACAGTGAGAGATGTTACTGAAAAATTAGACGAGAATGAGACCAAGGAATGTTGACATTTGCCAGAAGGGTACTAGGGTGCTTAAATCCCATTAAAATAAAATATTTTTTTCTAAATTACTTGCTATAAATTTGTTTGTTCCACAAAGCATACATAATTACTATTGATGTAAAAAACTTGCCCAGAAAGATTAACTTGAGTTTTCTGTGTGTCCCTGCCCCCTTTTCCATCTCCAGTCACATCTAGCTACATGCCAAAATCTGGGTTTCAGTGTGTAGTTCAGTTTCGTTGCCATCTAGCTTGTGTGTAAGCGGCGCGGTCCTGCAGGCTCAGAGAAGTACAATCATCCCCATCTTTTTAAATCACATCAATCTCAAGGCTCCTTTAGTAAGATTTCTGCCTTTATAGCAAGCAGCACGTCCACGTTACTTTCCAGGACTATTATTACACACTCGGGAAGCAGATTCAGACTGCACTCTAAAGCAGTATGCTGCTGCTATTCTGACTTCTGAAATAGATTAAAGTAGGAATTAGAAAAGTACATCTGAACCACAACAAATTTGTCTTCTTACATTGTTGAGTGGCTGGGAGACACGTGAGTGCTCCTTTCAGCTACCGATTTATTTTCACTACTCCTCCAGAGCCAGACAGTACTAAGCAAGGCCTGTCCTTTCCCAGCAGTGGGAGAAGGCCATGCCTCTTCTTTTAGTCACTTGTGTAGAGGCTTAACCCACATACACTGCTCATGGCTTTACTGAGTGTTTCCTTACACCAGGGCTACACGAGAGAGCTTGCCCGATGTGGTACGTTCTGCAACTGCATGTTACTTCACTTCCTTTCTCGGAAGAGCAAATTAAAGAAGCTTCAAACAGGCTTGTTTTGAATTTCCCTCAACTTCAATATACAAGACAGATAAACTGCAACGCTACCTCTTGCAGTCATGCCCTCGTGTGCCGTCAGTGGCACAAACCCCTGGGCTGTTTGCTCTGTACAGTTTGATCTTTAACTGTTCTCAACCTTTGACATAACCTACACACACGAGGTGGTGCATCTCGGGGGGATCAGCTGTTTGGCAGGCCATTGGAAACTTTTTTTTTTAAATAAAAGACAACTTTGATTTGGACCTTGAAGATGAACCTGATATTGATAAAGTATAAAGGACATTGTCTTGCTATTATTTTGCTGTTTGCTAAACAAAGTCGTACTTTGTGTTTGCCTATGCTTCCTCGGTAAGCTTCAGTGTTAACTTTCCCCCATTTTATATGCATCTTCATGCTTCCATTATGAACAACTGCTGCTGGGACTTAGGTATGGCTGTGGTTTTAATTTAAGATAAAAATTACCACGTGATTTTTCTTAGGGTTAAAGATGAAGCGTCACTTCTGTCAGTACAGATAGCTTCCAAAGGATTTCAGCTGCCTGTCAAAAGCAGTTTACATGCTGCGTGGCCATTAACTTCATTCCTTACCTGATTAAGGGTGCCTGCTTCTACAAAGAGAAGTTCTCCAGATCCCGTAACTTGGAATGCACGCTGCACTAGATACCAGAATACAGCTTGGGTTGCTCCATCTCTTCTCCTATTTAGAGCCTTATCTGGTTTTCTTCCCCCAAAGGGCATTGCGCCAACCACTTGGAGCTTGCAGGGCTGGAGGGCTGTGAGTAGATGATTCAATCTACTTCCTCTTTCCCTCCTGGAAAAAGTTTCAAGACTAGTTTTACACCATCTGTATTCCTCGTTTTCAAGATGACGGCACAGTTTGTTAGCTTCCTGTTATGAATACGTACCTGGCATGATTTTAAATAGTTAAGGAAGTGTAGATGCAGAAAAAAAAACCCACCCCAAAACATAAAAAGCCAAACACCATTAGCAATATCTAGTTCTTGCATCACCAGCCGTAAACCAGAGAACAGAGCTGAGCCTTCTGTCTGTGCAATCCTACACCGCGAGTCCCCGCCAGCTGATGCTGCTTCTAGCAAGAGAATCGAGTATCGATTACCTGGTCAGAACAAACTTCCCCAGCATGGAACAAGAGAGTGTTGTACTGCTGCAAACAGCCAGCCACATTAAAGGCCTTGCAAGAACATGAAATAATATGTTGGCATTGAGTTCTAAACCAGCGTGGCCTTTGGTAACAGCTCTTTCCCCTTTATCACGTGCATTACACTTCACTCTGCCTTAGCACTACAGCTGCCTGGGGGTGCAGAGCAAAATCCTATTAAAAGAAAAAATCCCCAAACAAGGGACTAGAAAACAAATGGATTGTCTTTTTCTACCTGCTTCATTTCTATTTGCTTTTTCCTTCAGGTTCCTTTCAGCTTCAGAGTCCCAGCCACCATTGCCCGGGCCAGCGTGCTCTTCCGCAGCAAATCCAGTCCAACAGCTCAAAAGAGCGAGCTCAGGGTAATCCTCCCTCCTCCTTTCTACTCTCCAAGGGCAATAATGATTATCAGTATTTCAGTATTCAATACTCCCTCAAGCTTAGAGATTTACTTTCCCATTAAAATCTGATCAGGTTAATTCAAGGATGTTTAATGAAACATCATGTAATGAAGCACAGTCACCATTATCCCAACAAAAGCAGCACGAAGGGGGCACATCCCACCCTCTCCTCAGAAGAACAGAAGCATTTTCCTCCCCACGCCACCCCCAGCCCAGCGAGCGCTGACCGACAGATGGGACCTGTGGCATCATGAAGCTGTTTATTTAAACAAAGTCAAAAGCAATTTCCAATATATGGAATTGGGTGATTATTTTTTTTTTCCAGAAAAAAAAAAAAACAAAAACTAGACAAAATCTTTTTATGAAGTATATGCCTTTTTAGGAAGACAAATATAGATTCTTTCCCTTTTACTCTCAATAAAGTAGATGGTTTAAATGCATAGATTTTAATTAAACATTTAATGCTGGTAAGGCAGTCTTTACTAAACAAAATACTTACCACAGTTTTTATCATGCTTCTGTGAGTGCCAGGTCACAGCAGTGTATTCTGGAATCGTTTTTCTCTGCTTGCTGGAATTACCTTTACCCCCGCCCCGGAGGCTGGCATCTGGTGAAGGGCTCCCCACCTGTTCTCTAATACTTTATTTTCAACATGAAACACTGAGCAGAGAAGGAGCTGGCAAATGATGGATTTGTATTAAACCCCAGGTTGGATCAAACCCAACTCCCTTCAGAAAAGACAACGGTGGGGAAGACTGGCATCGATGCAAAAACCGTTGTTAATCCACCACGTTTTTTGCTGCTAGGTCTCAGCGCGGCGGAGGAGCCGGCCGAGGTCCAGCCCGGTCGTAGGCGGAGGCAGCGCGGCCGCTGCGCGTTCGGGCTGCGCTTCCTGAGGCGCCTGGCACGGAAACACAGCCAGACCCCGCCGTGTCCTGGAGGAGTGACAGTGCAAAACACTTTGTGAAGGGCCCGAGACACATTCAGGTGCCATTTCCCTTCCTCCTTGCAAAAATTCCTCTCCTTCTAAGTAGGGTTTTTCTCCTGGAGGTTTTTTGGTTTTGTTTTTTTTTTTTTTTTTTTTCGGTTAAACAGAGAAAACAGTTTCAGAATTTACCATATTAGGCCTTAAAGCTCACAGTTACATCTGCCATCTTTTCACTGGAATGATCTTTTATTCCAGTAAATAATTTGACTTTCTAATGATGCCATTTTTACAATTTGCAAGTCCCCAAAATAAGCTTACACCACGTGCAAGATAAATTCAAAAGGTAACTGCCAGTGTTTTCCCATCAATAAAAGTCTTCAGCATAAATAAATGCTTGAAATTTTATTCAAATATGTACATCATTTCTAATTATCATCACCCTGAGGATTATCATCTCTCAAAAGCAATTCCTAAAGAGGAGCAAGTATCTCACCAGAAAAAGCACATTTCTGGACCCGATCTTCACTGCAACAGGAATGTCATGCAGGGGCTGCAGTGACTGCCCGTGGGGACAGGTCTGTGCCAGTCCTCACCTTCACTCCTTCAATTTGCCTTTAAAGCTGTCTGGAATTTGATGAAGTCTTTGTTTATGGGATTTGAGTGTAGAAATTCAAAATATACATAAATAAAACTATTCAATGAAGAACTTTCCTAAAGGAATAATTAAACAGACTTAACCTTTTGAAACGCAATCGTCACGTTTCTGCTCAGTCCTGTGCTAGTTAACTCCACAAGACTTGCTAAAACCAACAGAATTCAGACAAAAACTTTCATCCGGATAAGAGTCCAGGTGAGGTTCCCCAAAGATAAATCCACGAAGGTTCTTCAAGCAACGTTAAGTGTTGGATTTTATTTTTTTTTTCCCCCTCAGCAGGAAGGCTAAGCACTAGACTTCTCGATTCTGTGTCACCAGCAAGTGCCACTCCACACGTCTCCTCAGCCCTGGGCGAGATTCCGCCCTCCAGCGCGCTCGGTCACTGCAAAGCGTCCGCTGCGCAGCGGAACCCCAGGTTTGAGGCAGAGCTGTCGGGGGTGTTCTGACTACGGGCCGCGCAGCGGTACCTGTAGCAGTAAGACTGCAGAGCAAGGAGGAAAAAAAAAGTGAACTTCAGAGCATACCACAGCTTGTGCTTAGGCAAGAGTTTTAGATGACTAGAGCAAAACATTTGAGATGCTGAGGGAGGGAGGGAGGGAGGGAGGGAGGGAGGGAGGGAGGGAGGGAGGGAGGGAGGGAGGGAGGGAGGGAGGGAGGGAGGGAGGGAGGGAGGGAGGGAGGGAGGGAGGGAGGGAGGGAGGGAGGGAGGGAGGGAGGGAGGGAGGGAGGGAGGGAGGGAGGGAGGGAGGGAGGGAGGGAGGCAGGGAGGGAGGGAGGGAGGGAGGGAGGGAGGGAGGGAGGCAGGGAGGGAGGGAGGGAGGGATGGAGGGAGGGATGGAGGGAGGGATGGATAAACTACTACAGATCAAAAGCACCGTGTTGGAAATAAGGGCAATCCCACTGTACACAGAGACCAGCTGCAGCTGATACCAAAGGTAGTTTGAATGGCAAAGTATCTGATAACAGGAGTGTCAGCTACTAATGTATCCGGCTGTGGGAAAAAGCTAAAATGACCCTTCTGCTTGTCCTCAGAGGAAGAGAGCAGTGCCTTGCTCTGTGTTGGTAGATGAAGGAACCACTGAGGTTTTTGACAGGTGCCGGTACTTGTCCAGCCTGTTACTGAACGAGGTGCAAGAAGAAAGGAGTAACTGCAGGCTATCTCCTTCGCAGTATCCCGTGGCTAGCATTCTAGGGGTAGTTATAATGAAAATATCACCTAAACTGGTGGCTAGAAAAGCATTTACATTTAAAATTAAGCCACTGATAAAATGATTCAATCGCATTTCAAATATTCCTAGTAGACAACTGAATACCGTCCTCCTCCAGAATGGGCTGCAGTCACACAGCCACCTCCCAGAAAACAAAAGGAGGAACCATCGCTGCCCTTTCATTCTTTAAGTGAGCAAGGAGCACAAGATTATTTCACAGGAGTTGTCCTCACACCCAAAACCAGCCATTTGATGCTGCTGATGAGTGTCAGTGGGAAATACCGCTGCACTTTCACTCCCAGTGTTGTCTTGTTCTTGTAGGATTTGATATTTCTGTGATAGACCAATTTAGATCAAAAATATCATCTTAAAAGATTCAGAAAAGGACCGCTGCAAGGTGCTCTGTACATTTTAAGAAAGGCTGTTAACTTATACACAACCAAATTAATCTAAACAGGGTCAGACCGGCTCAGACCTCTTTACAGCAGATTGGAGACACTGGTCTATAACATGTTTTTTGTGTTCCCTGGCTGTACAGATTTGGCCACATCTCAGTGCACGTTAATATACTCACACTCCTTGAAAAAAGAAAAGCCTGTGCAAGCCATGGTGCTACAGATGCTCAATTACCTGGCGTTAGGAGCCGTGGTTTCCAAACTGCAGAATTAACCAGTTTAAGCTCTTTGCTACATGAAGTTAAACTGCCCGGCAGCAGTTCTCCATCGTGGCACAGGAGGAGGACAGTCCCACTGGTGATTTCACTAATAAAGCACCAGGGTAGCAGACGGGGCGTTTATGTAGCAACTCCAGTACAATCCATCCAAGTTCCTCCCAATTTTGCTGTTACTTCCAAAGATCTGGCTCAGGCATCCAGGCTTCCTGGCCTCTGACAAAAACCACCACTTTCATTTAGGCTTGTTCAGCTGCATGTAGTCAGGCTCTGAACCAGATTTCTGGAATAGCTGGGTTATAAAGTAAGCATTTTAACTTGTTTTAGATTTTTTTTTTTTTTTGAGGGTGGCTAGAGGGCGAGCAGAGAGGAGCAGGGAGGAATTGTTCATTTTTCTCCTTTAAACCCAGATCCCTTCAGGAGCACTCAACAGTTGAGTTTGGACAACCAGGAGGGTGGTGACAACTTAAATGGGCTGTGCCACCGAGGGAGCAGGGTGCCCGCAGAGGCAGCAGCATCTCCCCGGAAAGGAGAAGCAAACAGCCCTTCCTCACCCGGCCCCTGGCAGCGCCGAGCCAGCCAGCGGCTGGTGCCACCGTCACAAACACAGGTTTAACCCCAAACCTCGAGGGCGCGCCACTGCATTTAGAAACTGAGCTTTTTTGAAAATAAAAGTAGCTGCTAAGCAGACATGTAGAAAGCTGCAAACATTACCAACTCGGAAGAGGCAGAACAGCAGTAGAATAGATAGATTACTCTGAACAGATTTTTAGGCACCTAATAAAGAGCACTTGTACTAACAGTACTCAGTGGGGGGTTTGGTCTTGATACAGCCTAGTTTTATCACCTACAAAAAAGACTGGGACAGACTAGAATCTTCACAAGCCTTTAAAATGGGTCACATTATTCATCACTGAAGAAGAGTCTATTCCAGTGTTAATTTAATCAAAACTGCTAATTAACATCTGACATTGATTTCACCTAAGAAGGGAAGCAGTGTAGAAAATGGGATCTCACTGTAGAAAATTTAATCTAATTATGAGAATGATTTGCCAGCTGCGGGCTTTGAAAGGGAAAAAGAACAGGACAGCTTTATAGAAAAAGGAGATCCACAATAAGCATTTTGTCCAGCGCCGCGTGAACAGGGTTTAAAACATAATTTGTGTCATGAACAGCTATTGCACTGCGGTGGCATCCAGACTTTTCAGGAAGAATTTCAAGTGTGCTGTCAACTAACCCGAAACATTCCCCTCCCAGCAGTCTTCCTGCAAACACTTGATGCCTTTTCTGGATCGAGAACCTTTCTAAAACGAAAGCCACATCTATACTTTCTACTCTTACAAGTATCACTCAAGCACTATAATGAAAATAGCATTAGAGGCATACATCAATTTTAACTTCTGCATCTAAAAAAAAACCATAGTGGGTAAAGCAGCTTGTTTGTTTTAGGTACAAGCTAACAAAAAAGAAATCCTTAAGAACATTCGCTATTGCTTTTCTTTAAATTACATGAAACCCCGTAACAAGCATCCAGGCTGCCAGGAAACTCTGTCAGAAAATCACTTAATTGTCGAGGTCTGGTACTTTCAGAGGAAATATCAACACAAAAAAAATACCACAGGCCTTTTCCCATTACCTTATGGCACATATAGGATCCACCCTTCTTCACTCTGTCCGTCCCGGCTGAGGGCCCCTTCTGTGGAGGGGAGAACCCGGGTTAGTGCTCACGGGAGAACAATTGCCAGTTACAGGGTTAAAGGTAAAAAGCTGTAAGAATAGGGAGATGGATAAGGAGCAGCCATAAATAATCCAAGTAAACAATTTCCAGCTGTGTCTGTCTGAATCCGAAACCCTGAAATAATTATGTTGTAAAAGACTTGCAGACAGGTGAGAGTAATTGTGCTCCCTCCCCACTGCTGCCCACGTTAAACATTAGAGTTGGTGCCCGCCAGCCAAGAGCACCTTGTGCTTGGTTCCTGTAAAGCACCCGATAACAAGCTGTAAAACACACGGTGGCAATCAGGAGGGAGTAATGACCTTCTGAGAACAGATCCCTTGCTGTTGTTCCAGCCATTTCCTAATGAAACATCGGGAATTTCACACGCCAGCCTGCACCCCTAATGAAACCTGGGATTGTCAGCGGTTCCACTGCACTGAAACACACACATGGAAACCCGGCAGCCTCCAAGAGGAACAGGGAGAATTCCACGACTGGAAACGCCATCACACAGCTGGTGTCTGGTTGCCACGAGGGGCTGCAGTGCCCAGGGCTTGGTGCTTATTCCCTTTCCAGTCCGAAATCCGGCCTGAAACACAAGTTAGGGACTGTGCCGCAAGACATTCCGTATCATCTCCCAGTCACTTTGCACTAAATTTGTTACTAGGTGGGATCACAACAGCTTACGAGCTCTGCAGAAAGCGCTGCACTTCTTTGCAATCCGGTAATTGCATGTAGGCTGGCAGTGCAGGGTATGGGATTTATTTGAAGTGCTGATGAAATTGGCCCTAGAATTAATTTGACGAGGTTATTTCACTCTTCTTTTTCAATTCCAACGGATGGCCTAATAGTTCAAGGAGAAAGCTGGGCTTCTTGATAACCCACTTGTGCTTGCTTTGATGGGTGTTTATTACACAGCCCAGCAATCCTCCCACTCCATTCCTTTTAGCTGTGAAAGTTTCTGCTGTGTTCATCGAACACTTAGAGACTACTGCTATGCTTCATGTTTCCACCGCTGATACCAAATATTTTTACATGCCTTCTCCACTGCATGTGCATTGAGAAACTACTTTTAGGAAGCAGCCACAAGGTGTTATAGAAGTCACAAACAAGATCAAGAAGATAAATCGTGGTTTATTAGTTCACAGGTAAGCCTAGGCTAGAAGTCAGTACTGCCACTAAAAATCCTCTCAAAGTTGTAAGATTTGCATCTCTTCCTGTAGATGTTACGCTGGCATGCAACAAAAACATTTTCTTATCGTGTACAAGTGTCCAATAAAAGAATTATGTACTTAACTCGAGGGACAAGCTGTCGTTTCTTCACTGGTTGCGAAAGTCTATAAATCAAGTCTGTATTGCTAGGCAAAACCTTATCAGAAGAATTTGAGGAATACACAGGAAGAAAAAAAGAGCTATGATCTTCTCCAAGTCCCAGCATTTACTGCTAAGACCTTTATCAATAAGTACAGGTTACAGGAAAGTCATCAGCCCATTTTTTAGCAGCTAAGAGAAAAGAATTCATTGCCATCGAGTACGTAAATGATACAAAACAGTACCATTAAAAAAAAAAAAAAAAACAAAACAAAACATAATAGGTTAAAACCAGACAACTACTGAAAAAGGAATTCTGCCAATTATTTTGTCTCCTCCTCTCCAGCAGCCAGCCGTTTTTGTCCTGGAAGTATCTGAAGGGCTCTGTGCTTTCTGCAAAGCCTTAAGAACACCACATTGACCAGTATAAATGCAGTCACCAAAGAGAAACTTCACTTGTGTAGAACATCCCGAAACCAGGAATAATTGTGCTTGAAGAAGGAGGTTCCCCAAGGGGGATTTCACAGGCAACGCCACCTCTGCAGCTTTGCTCCCTGACCAGTTTGGTTACACTGGTCACCACACTGTCCCAGCCTGTGTCAGGGGGTGTGGTTGCCTCCCACCCAGCTCCTGCATTATCCGAGGTGAAGCTGCGGAAGAACCAACACGAGCATTTGTAACACCAAACAGGACTGACAGGGGCTGGAAGGAAACCCTGAAATTTGACGCTAGTGCCACAGAAACTACCGACTGCATCCACTGAGCTTGACTGCTCTGAGAGTCTTCACACCGCAAGTTTACCAGAGTGAAACTTCAGCAGTGTCACATGTATTGCAAAATTTTGTTAGGCCAAAAAAAAAAAAAAAAAATTAAAAATTGGCCTACTACTGCACTTAATACCCTACAAATACTCAAGGAAAACCACCCCCAGAGGCAGCGCCTGCTCCTTTCTGAGCCCCAGTGCTCCGCCATGGGACAGGTTTACTCCGTTTCCAAGGTCTCTGGACACCGTCTTCACAAAACATGCATGTAAAGGCACTGAGCCCCACTTCAAAATAAACCACTAAAGCACAATCAACTCAGCCTGGTAATCTCATTTCAAGCTAAACCAGAATAGAGCCAGCCAGAATAAAACTGTCCTAAAAAAAGCTACGTGAGAACAAGACAAAAACTGAGAACAATGGAGCTGTTGATCAGGATTTCCTATTAAAAATTGTAAAGCAAATCCAGAGCAGCAATCTTCGCTATTAGCTCCAAAGTAACTTTCATCAACTAAGAGGAGCATGCTAATTTAGGGTTACAGGGTTTATTGTCCAGCCATAAGCCTGGTGTATGTTGCAGCAATTATACAGAGATAACACACACTGAAGAAGCACATGAACCAAAGAAAATGGTAATTGCATAAGCTCTTCTTATTAATTACAAACATATTCTGCCAGGCAAAAAGCATCAAAGGTTATTTGGTAACAAAAACTCAAATTGAAGCCCTGCTTCTGAAGCAGGATTACAGCCCCGAAATGCTTTACCACCCACAAAAATCTGATGTAGCGTGCTCCAATAATTATCTTCTTGATAGATAATTCTTAAAATCACTGAAGGTAAAGAGGTTGCCATAAAACAACGGGCAAAGTTCTCTGAAAAGCAGCACATTACTAGACATGAGCCAGAGAAACCAACCCAGCCCCTTTGACAGCTGTCTGTGGGCTCCATCTAATTCTCTTGCTGTCGCTATTTCCCTGTCTTGCTCTGCAGTTTAGCAAAAGAAAAGCTAAAAGGAAGTCGGGACAACCCGATTTCACCACAGTTGTGTCCAACTACTTACATATGTACAACATCAACTGCACAAGCACCTGTGTGCAAGAGCCCAACTAGCCGGATCCCCTTCTCAGCTTGTGACCGCGCTCAAACGACGGGAGGTTAAAAAAGGACCCCGGAGCCTCCGAAGGTGGGGCACAGTGAATGCAGTTCTCCTTCCTGGCGTTAAAAAGGCAGCTTACCAAACCTCTCAGTCTCATTTCAAGGCTCTGGCGGAGGTAAAACTGGAAGCACAAAGCAGGCAGCGACGATGCTTTTATTTCACAGGTAGCGCGGGTTCTCTGAAGGCGCCACACGTCACCGGGGTCCCCCGAGCCACGTGGGCTGACCTGAAAGCAGCCTAAACTAAGCGCAGAGGACATCCTTTACTCCAGACTGATGAGCATCCCCAGCCCCGTTTATGCTCGTTTGTACTTCTGGACCCCAGGCCTGCCCGCGGAGAACGTGGCGCTGGAATCGTTGCGTTGCCTTTCTCCAACCGTTTGCTTCCACATCCCGTGTGCCCCCCCCCGCTTCGTGCCAGGGGCCGAGGAGTGCGCAGCCCCACGCAGGATCTGTCAGCATCCCAGCAGCCGAGGGCTGTACTTCGATTCTTTTACCTCCTTTACCCTTTGCTACAGCTCCCGATAAATTCACAGCTCAGCCACTGTGGTAAAGCTCAGGGCAACCAGCTGGCCTCCCCCTGTACTGCCCAACATCTTCTTTTTATCTTGCTTTTTCTCCCCCAGCCTTGCTGAAAAAACCTCAAACATATCACAAGCAGGAAGAACCCACCTCGACTCTATTTCCTTCGCACATGAAGTTGAACAATTTTGTCTGGGTAGGTAGGAGGGTGCTGCAGCTCCTCGGTCTACCTGCAGCAGGAACCACCTCTGTCACCCAAAACAAGGCCCCGTTCCCAGCTCCAAACCGAGAGAAAGAAGCCAAGTGGCTGCAGACAATCTGCAATAAGAGATTTCAATTTCTTCAAAGGTGTTAAGAGTTAGATGTCCCTTACCAGCGACCCGCTGCCTCTGACGCTGCACACGCGAGTTCCACACACGCCCTCTGACCCGAGTCCCCTTCTCCGGCTGGTCTTTCTCCTACCTGCATCCCTTGCTTAAAAAACTTGCTCTTGTTTTATGAAGAACTTCAGCAGTCCTTACAGCTGCAGATATAGAAATGTAAACTCATTCCTGCCTGACTGCTGGCTACGTAGAGAGTACAGGAAAAAAAACAAAAAAAAACCAAAAAAAAACCAAAGCCCCAAAAATGTCACCACTTTGTCTTGCGCAGAACTAGGCAGACGTCGGGTATGGCACCCTGAAAAGCCAAGATCCCCCCAGCCAGCAGCTCTTCTAGAGTAACGCGTGCATTTAACAGACTCTGCAAAGTCACCGTGTACAAACATGATCTAACCAGACAATGTTACAGCTCGATATCACCTCTTTCTTAGAAATCAAAAAAAGGAGAAAGCCTGCAATGTTAGTATTCGCTCGTATCTTCCTTAGAGATAAAGGAAACCCGCTTTGATTGTGCTTACCAATAATGAAAACTAATCAAAGCACGGCAATTAAGGTCCCATTTGATTAAAACAAACAAATCTTTGTTCCATCAAACAATATTGTTTTATGCCTTTACCTGGAGAAGTGCATCATGTGACATGGAAGGACATTTGCTCGCCGTACGTGGAGAGGCAGAGCTGTCCAGACTTTGAGCCCAGATTTAAAAAACAGAATTTACTGCATATTAGCAAGTTTATTTTGAACTATAATGTTGTAACAGACAGATTATAGCCTGATTGCATAATTACAAGTGCTTGTGCATTCAATTCAGCTCAAGCTTATAAGTAGGATTATTCCTTAAAGAGTTATTAAAACACACAGAAGCTTTTTAAAAAAAAAAAAATACAAAAAAAAAACCAAAACACAAACCCTTGTATTTCTTTCATTACATCAAACAAATGCTTTCTGAGGTGGCATCACAATTTTCTAGGCACACTCAGCTACATGGCCACTCTGTTCTGAGCTAACTCAGTTTTCAAACAGAGAACTGCAGGTCATAAGAAACTAATGCACCGTATACAAAAAAATCTGCGGCAGAAGTCAGCGCAATTCAAATGGGCCCGTTGTGGTTTGATTGATCTCTCACACACACTTGGCTGCTGGCTGCCAAATGATCATTTACATTTTTCAAACAAACAAACAAACAAAAAAAAAAAACAACACAACCTGGTGCTTCCTAGTCTTGCCTTGCAGCTTAGTAGCTGCAAGAGGTACGAAAGAAACATTTTTTTTTTTTGCGAGTTGGTCTTAAACTGTGGATTTTTTTTTCCCATTTATGAGAAATACCAGCCCAGAAGCACCTATTTCTGACAGCAGCTGAGCTCTGGCTTTTTACTCACTGCCAATACCAGGAGTTGAAGTATCAGTTTTAGATTTTTCTCAGGTGGATTTTCTAATTCCCTCCAAACGGAGTTTGACCACACAAAAACCACTTCACCCCCACGACTAAGACATGCTGCAAGACTGTCTTGGTGCTGATACGTGGCCCCAAACTGTGCAACTCCAAGATGTCTTCAAGGGCAAGCAAAACCACTTCAGAGAACAGCAGCAAGACAGGACCCTCCTTGATCTCCTGGCAGCCTCTCAAGTAAAGAATCTCCTGAGAGAGGAGCCCCAGAACGCACAGTGGGCACACGAGAACAGCCATGGGATGCAGTCTGGCACTCTAAATCGAAGTGCACGACCAAGTTCTGCTTAGAAAGGCTTTTAGTGGTCAGTGAACACAGAACAGACAGAAACTACGCTGAGAGGTGAGGGGAAGTGAGAAGAGGAGGTCACAACTGAGACATTATTCCACTTGAAATTCAGAAAGTTTCGAAGTTATTTCCATGTGTAAAAGTTTCCCAGAGGCAGCTAGTCTCGATTTGGTCTATTCTGGTTTGCTCAGGATCGCCGATACGGGATTTCCACTGGCCTATCCCGCTGCACTGGGTGAGTGTTACTGGCTTCCCATTTTTTCTGGGAGAGTAACAAGCCCATTATCACCCAGGAGGGACCATGCCCCGAGTTCCAGCTGACAAGTAATTCACTATATACAATTTGTTACTTAAACCCCCTCCAAACACAGTCTTGTTTGTTTGCTTTCACAGCCAGTCCAAGCACAGCACGCTCAACTCCACTGATCCTCTCCGCTTGTACAATGAGGAGACTTTCATTTGCTTCAGTCAAAAATGGAGAGATTTGCAGCTCACTACACGAATCTGATGAGAAGCAGGAATCAAAATAAAAGCCACTTGCCTCATGTTTTGAACGAGCCACTGCTACTATACAAAGAAGTGTCTGGACTGGAAGAGTTGAGGAGACTTAGTTGAAGTGTCTAATTAAATTCTTGAAGGAAGCTCTGTACGGGCAAATCTCCAGTTCTACTAATGCTCTGCTCTTGGAAGCTGCACCCAGAACCTGTCATGGTGCCTCCCAGTGTCACTAACCTGAAAGTCCTTGGCTGCACCCCCAGAGCCCCACCACTCTTAATAGCAACCAGTGTCCCTGGCACTTCCTAGATTACCATTTCAAGGACACCGTACCAAGCTCTGCGTTCTATATACTTCCAGAGCTGCCTAAATCCTTTCAGGTGTGTTTATTTGGCTTCAGTACTTACCTGCCCGGGTCCTACGCCTGACAAAGAGGAAGAAAATTGTTCCTTCTGCTGTTGGAACGTAATTGAAATCTAATACCTTAAAAAGTAGCAAACAACTTAAAGCACTTTCAGGTGCCCCAGTTTATTTTTGCTCTTGGTAATCATTTGTGAATACAAGCCCATCAGTTGGGGCAGGGGAAGAGGGGGGTGGAAGAATGTGTGCAAAATTCCACACATTCCATGTAACCAATCCACAGACTACCCCAAATCTCTCCAGTACTAGAAAACTGCTTCCAAGATTTCAGATGCTAAACTAAACATGCTAAAAAACTTCCACTAAGCTCTGACCCTCTAGAAGAATTCCTGGTCTTTTAGGCAGAAAGAACACATCCTATATATAGGTTATGCTGACTTGTACTCTGGAGAGACTTAAGAGATTGGCTCTGATAGATATGGTGCTAATCATTTTTAATGTCTCAGAAGATACTGCAGCCTGGCTATTTTGGGACACCTTTCCACATTATGAGATTCAGTTTTCTTATCCATTTCATCAGAAAAACCCTTTGGAATTCACTTTGAAGTGCTCTGCCTCAGACACTACATTCTGACAATTAGTTTCCAACAGAAAAAAAAAAAAAGAACTAAAAGCGTTATTGTTAACACCTAATTTTTAAAAACTTTCTGAAGCGTCTGCAAAATGTTTGTGCTGAATTCAAAAACCGCAGCAAAACCATACTGAAGTGACAGGGAGCAAAAGTCACGACTTGTTTCTCACCATCGCCTTAATTCAACAGGGAAGCAGCACTGCTGCACCGACATTTTAGACACAGAAGTGTCTCATTTAAAGACATAATTCTAATGGTCTAATGAAGGGGCAGCACTGCAATACTTAAGGAATTTATTTTTTTGTTTAAGCAGCATACCACAGTAGCTGTCGCTCGGCAAAATCCACGATCCTAGCTAGCTGGGGTTTGTGCAACTTGGACAAGTTGGGAAGGCTGACACAGGCTGAGAAATCTATTTTTCTTTATAAAACCAAGCAAGATGAAGTTAACTAGTACCAGTGGCAGGGAATGGATTACCTGAAAGCCACAGTTTGGATGAAGACTCCTGAAGGTTCGTTCCATTATTAGCACAGTACCTTCCACACAAATGAGTTGGTTCGTGCCTTTCAGCTGCAGAAGCCCATCATCACCAGGCCGGGCTGAGAGAGTTGGGGGGGTTCAGCCTGGAGAAGAGAAGGCTCCGGGGAGCCCTTCGAGCAGCCTCCCAGGGCTTAAAGGGGGGACAGGGGAGGTGGGGGGGGACTCTGGGTCAGGGCATCAGGGAATAGGACCAGGGATAATGGTTTAAAAATGAAAGGGCAGATTTAGGTGAGCTCTAAGGCAGAAATTGTTCCCTGTGCGGGGGGTGAGGCGCTGGCCCAGGGTGCCCAGAGCAGCTGTGGCTGCCCCCTCCCTGGAAGGGTTCAAGGCCAGGTTGGACGGGGCTGGGAGCCCCCTGGGCTGGGGGAAGGGGGCCCTGCCTGGGGCTGGGGGGGTGGGACTGGGGGGGCTTTGAGGGCCCTTGCAGCCCAAACTGTTCTATGATCTTACATGAAAAAAAAGCTGTAAGACAGAGCCTTTCAGAGATACCTGTTCGAAGAAATAATGCACATCACCTTATGCTAACCTACAGACAACACCAAAAAAACTCTAGGACATATCTAGGTGCAGTAGACCATAGATCTGTGACTTTTAAGCTCTATATATACACAGCATCAGAAGTGGTTTTATTCTCCAGACTCGGCCTAGTTACTCTATTTTTGCTTCCCAGTGTTGCCACTTCTTGCTAGGGAAGGCTCCCGAAGAGCCGTGCCCTTTTCCCTGCCCCGAGGGGCCGCTGGACAAACAAGCAGCCAAAACTCAAGTGGCTGTCAGACCAAGCAGCAGCTGCAGAAGAACAGGGACAGTTGCAATCTGCTCCCAGACCCACGGGGTTCCTTCCCAGGGACACAGATCCTGTTCCTCTCTGCAAGGGGACCCTTCCCCCTGCCCCAACTAAGGCAGCCTGTGCAGATCAGGGTGCACTGGTTCCAGGCGCTGATGTGAAGCTTCAGAAGTGAGGGGGGTGAAGCAGAATTTTCCCTGGTACAAACCACAGGGAGTGACCACACAGTCTGGAATAGAAAGCTCAGCCTTGCTCACTCTGCTCCTCCTCCTCCTCCTCCCCCAACTTACCAGGCTGCAATCAAATCAGTACTCACCTACTCTGACACGGGAAAGTATGCCAGTTTTATTGTTTTTCACTTTCAACCAAATTTACATTCTGCTAGCTACTCAACACTTCATCTTTAGAAATGCTGCTCTTAAACTGGCCTTGTTTCCATTCATAAGGTACAAAAAAAAAAAAAAAAAAATAATCCTTAGTTGCATATAAAACACCCACCAGAATAGAAACAGAATTACAACACAGCAGATGTTTTTTTCCTAATCAATCAGTATGCAAACAGGAGAAAAAACAAAATCTAAAGAATCAGTTTGAATGCTAAGCGTAAAGTTCTACATAAACCTCAGCTGTATGTATATGCAAGCCATGAGTCAGTGTTGGGGAAAAGTCGCGTGTGTTTATACATTCAAGAGACAATTCATGCACTACAGCTTTCCATTATTGCTGAATTACAGAAACTCGCTGAAAATTTTGACTACTGTGAAATATTCAAGCCACATCGTCGGAATTTGTGCAGTATGTGAGGAAGGTAGTAGATGGCGATACAACACAGCCAAGGTCCCCAGGGCGGAGAAGGTTCTTTAGCCATTGCTAGGCCACTAAGACTGCTGACCAACAAGATTTAGAGAAGAATCCATCCTGGTTTAAATCAAATGGAAAGAAAAAAAAAAAAAAAAAAGCTACAAACCTCAGCATTTTGGTTACTTGTGAAGATATATGTAGCGCACTGTCCGACACGTCACTGAAGCCACTAGAGAGACCTGGGGTATCTTACTGGGATACAAGTAACTCGTAACTGGCTGGTGTGACTGGTACGGGTTCAGAGCTCTCCAGATGCTCCACCAGTGTGGCGGAACTGCTGGTACAGACCTAGAGCAATCTAGACACCGAGAGGACTCTGATTTCTCTTGCTGGACACATCCTCCTGAAAGAGCAGCAGAAGGACAACCTCTGCCATGTACAGAATATTCCAAAAAAAAAATTAGCAAGTTCCTCAAGCTACTTGCAATTGCTGCCTGGCCAGAAAGGCCTCCGATGATGGTCGGCACGCCGAAGACAGGCTACACGTGTCCTAAGAGACCCACAGCACCAGGATTCGCAAATCCCGCAGCAGAGAGCTCCCGCCCCGTGAGGCTTAATTGGTTTTCTCATTACAGATAACTGTGTCAGAACAAAACAAGCTCTGTCAGAGCCCAGCAGTGCATTTCTCAGATTTAGTCATCCTGGATAAATGGGAGAGAAGGAGATGTAACACTAGAATTTGCTGGGAGATATTCCACGAGAAACCCCGCATGCCAAGCTTACCCTGCAGGACCTCTTTCACTGCCTGCCATAAAGAAAACCAAAGATTAACCCCTCAAAGCCTAGGCAGCTACTGCTCCTCATTAACCTCAGCTTTTTTCCATGCTGAGTTTTAAACCAACTACTAGAAGCCATAAAGGTGACTCATGATAGTTTGCTCTCTACCCGGGGAAGAAAAAAAAAAAAAAGTAGCAGCACAACTTGTAGCAACATAAATAAACAAAAAAACTTTTTTTTTTTTTTAAAGTAATTACACTGCATTGCCCGATTCTTGATTTATGTAATATGATGCCAGTTTGGAAGTATTCAACTGCTAACCAGTTGTGGAGGCCTGCCCAACAAAAATAAATAAAATTGCACTACAGGGTTGCTTACCAGTGGCATGATTCTTTCTAATTCCCCAGACACAGCGGAGGGGAGCAAAGAACAGTTGTTTTTCCAAACAGCAACCAAATCAGAGTAGCAAGAGGGAATTCTGTACTTCACGCGATGCCGATAAAATACTTACAGGGTTGTGAGCTTCATCTGGTGAATGATGAACAGCCCACCAGTCCGACGTCCATTCCCAGGCGTTTCCTACAATGTTGTACAAGCCATAGCCGTTGGGAGGAAATGCAGTGACCTGTGCGAGATGTGGAGCACAAGGGCCAGTTCTGTAACCCACTCAACATGAAACAGGGGTTTCAGTCCTGAACACGAGTCTGCTGAAGGTGCATCTGTCTTAATTTAGGGGTCTCTGCCTTCACATCTCAAAAGCAGACACCAAATTAGTAGTGCAGAGCTATAAGAATTTTACATACGTCATTTAAATAAAACAGGAAGAAAGAATGAACTGTTAGGATTCTCAATGTTCTCAGCACCACATTTGCACTACGGCACAAAGCATCTTCTCATCGGTTCTGGAGACAGATCCTCCGAAGAGACAGGCACTGTCTGACCAACAGACACAGCCCTGAACGCAGCATAAAGTGATCTCACCTCCACGCCCGCACCTCCAACTTCCAGATTCCCCTTCCCATCAAGGAAAAGTGAAGGTGGCTGTCACCTCACCCATAGGCAGACTTCTCTACTAATGAAACTTTTTTGGATTTACTTGAATTATCATTTAATAATTCATTGACACTCTTGATTGCCTTTAAAAATTCCTCTCCGTTGTTTGCCATATTAGACAGACTCAACCTTTCCAAAAAGGGAAGTTTCATCTCTATTAAGCTATTGCGTGGTTTTTGTGCCACGGGAACGACTACCCAAAAAATGAGAGTTCAAAAAATTGTAATGCCACAAGTGCAAGCAGAAAATATTTCAGCTTCTGACTACAAGCTGACTTTAAAGGGGAAAAAGGGGTCAGTCTGAGAGGAACTAAAAGATAACGTGAAACTAATCCTTGCTTTTCAATTAGCTTTTAAGGTGTCCCTTGGTAATACTCAAGCCTGGAGCGAAATATGTCGTAACTTCAAAAATCCAAAGGTGAAAGAGTACGGGAACATAAAACAGCCATGGTTCATTGTGTTGAACTCGGTTGAGGAATTTTAGGAAGGCTAAGTTCATTTCCATACGATTAACCCAGTTTGAGACACTTACAGGCGCAGTTCCTTTGTATCCATCTTCCGCAGTGTTGTTCGTTGGGAACGCTCCCTGCCAGATATTGGCGTAATGGTCGCCTTTTGGCTGAAGCTTGTTGCCCCACGGGAAAAGCCTATTAAAAGACATAGACAGCAGAAGAGCTGTCAATTTTTTTTTTTTATTTTAATAAATAAATAATAATTAAAAAAATGAGATGCCACACACCCCCTCCCTTTCCTCCCCACCTTACCCTGGAGAACTGTTTGTATTCCAGTTCCATTTGTACCAACATCTAGCAGGCTTTCAAGGAGAAGCAAGGGTTCTACGAGGACAATTCGTACCTGAAGGAGCCCTGTGCAGTATGTAGTCCGGGACACAGGATGGAGAAGACACAAACCTGTTATTCACTTTGTCTTCCCCTCCTCCCCAAGCCCACAGCCAGGTAACAGGCAAACCCAGCGGCCCTACAGCTGCTGGGCAGTGATGCAGTTATTTACTAATTAAGCCCTTTTGGAGCTCTTTCAGCCTTGGCCCGAAGCTCCTTCGCTATACCTTCCATCTCCTGCAATAGCACAAGTCCTGTGTCTTGACATTTTGCCACAGCTCCTTCTCTCTTGGGCTCTCTGTTCTCGTCCCATTAGAGTTCAGATTACAACATACCATTCAGGCATTTAGGGAAATTCACTTACCTAAAGGAATCTGTTCCGAGTGAGTCAGAGTACCACTACACAAGAAAAAGACACTGAGGGTAATAAAACCCCACACAGCTCTTTCTTATTGGGTAAATACCAATTTTAAACTTTTTTTAGGGACACGTTTGTGACAGATACCTATTTTCAAGGCCCCCCCGGCAGCTGTATTCCCATTCAGCCTCAGTGGGCAATCGTTTCCCTGCCCATGTGCAGAATGTCACCGCGTCATTCCAGGAAACGTGAAGAACTGGATGATCCATTCTGGGGAAGAAAATAAATAGGACAAGATCACCAGCAGAATGAGGCAATCTCAGAGCTATACAGCACAAGTGCTTTATGAAACTGTTAGAAGTGGCCATAAAAGGACTGCGAGAAAGTTCACAGGTCAGTTACAATTGGACAAGCTATCAGTTTACTTTTACAGAAAAGAGGCTATATTTAAAGCAAGACAGCAAGATGCTGGAAGGAAAACGCAGCTATCGGCGAAAAATAAGGCAGAGACAAAAATTAACTGCTGTTTGTGTCAGCATGCTTTCACATACAGCGCTCTACAGTTAACAAAGACATTTGTGGCCTGTGCTTTCTCACGGCCTCACCTCAGGCACCTGCTGCACCCAGGAGGCAATCAAGAACTATCGACACACTGGCTTCTGTGGCAACCTAGGCGCTCAGAGTCCCAAAGGAAGACACCAAAAGCCTGCAGCATCACTACTCCTTGCTAAGCTAGTTTAACATCAACAAGAAGCCAAGATTCTCCATAGGAAAATTTACGTTGCAATTTAGTGGTGAATGCTCTTCACTTCCCTGGGCACTCTTCTTTTCGCTGCACGTTTTTTCTTTGCTGTCAGTTGTGGGGTTTTTGAGGGAGAAGCGAGATGAGCAAGAGTCCTTGCTCTTAGCGACATCGTCTTTTGCAGCATCTAATCCAGCAAACAGTGAACTACAAAAATTTAACAGAACGGTATTTTCCTTCGGGCTTTTCAAGCAGTCCAGTTGACACAAAAGCTCCCATCTTGCCCTGCGTTTAGCTGGAGGATTGCCCTCACAACCCTGGTCTCTTTTTCCAGAAAAAGACAGAAAAAATGCCAAGTCATTCTCGTCACAAAGATCCTCCTCTTCCAAACCTCTAATAGACCAAGATACTTCAAGATCTGAGGGCACTGGGCCAGAAGACACACAGAAGATTTCCCACTAACTTGTCTTTCCTACCTCATTAAACAAGCCAGCATGTGCCATCAGGCTACTTCCATGAGGCAAGTTCACCAGCAGTTGTGCTAGCCTAGGTTTATGCTATACTCCTACAAGACTAGATTTACATGGCAGGTTTCCAACTCTTATCTGCTGACTGTGACCTAAATTTCTCTGTCTCCCCCTAACAACGCCTCCTGATATTATCTCTATTTTTGCCTCAGATAATTCTTTCATTGACCTTGGAGAACAGACAGCGGACTTGTTACTAAGCAGTTCAGCCATCAGATGATGTTACACTAACATAGCCCTGTCCTTAGAGGACTCAAAAACATGCCAGCATCTACTAGATCTAGGCTAGAGAGTCTGACTTTATTTCAAACAGCTTTTGAAACTTTAATTAGTTGAGTAAGGCAGCCAGCACCAATTTCACTGACACCCACCTAGCGAGAGAAGAAGTTGCAATATAAGAGGTCCCAAATGAAAACAGTCACATCCAAGTAAGCACACAGCAATATTCATAACTGAACAGCAGCTTTCAACATGTGCAACCCAGGGCTGGCTCTGCAGCATCTATAAAAAGCACCTGAGAATAATGAAGCCTTCTGATTTTCCAGGCCTCAAATCTATTCCACTTCTGATGGAAAGAGATCGCGTAAAGACATGGATCAGCAAGTTTCAGGGTTCATGCTAGCAAAGCATGGCACTAGCTGTAGGCTATTAAGAAAAAAAGTGAAGTTTTCCAAAGCATTCAGAGCTTCTAGTTAAGAGTCACAACTGATTTTCCACAATAAGCAGCCCACGAAGTCAGAATTACAGTAAAAAGCAGAGAACTCTTCAGTCTTCAGCTGCCAGAGAAGTAGGCCACCAAGTCCTGGATGAAGGACATGCTACCTGGACTCCCAGAGCACACCTGCAGCCAGTATTCAGTCTTCCTCTCTAAAACCAGATCTGCACTGAATGCTCTGAAGTTACTGACCCTGTAAAAGCGTGCTCCGTTTCACTGCTGATACATAAACGGGAATAGAAAACACACCAAAGCACATTTTGGTACAGTCTCTTTTCCCTCGGGTGGAAACTGCTTAGAGACCTTTTTGAAATCCTAGTACATCACTAACCATATGACCACTGAATATTGCACGCAACACCCTAGAAGATGGGAAAACAGCTGGAGAAGCAGCAGCAACCAAGCAACTAACTTAAATCCCTTTCTTGCATCTCCTTTCCTGGCGTGAGTTTCTGGGTTTATTTACAAGCACTGTGGATTACAGCTGAATGGCCATTTCTGGCTTACCTGTCGGAGATACTAGAGTCAGGACCCTCAGGGTGCCTCCAGTTGGCTCCCTTCACCGGTAACCACCAGGGAGCAGCTGCAACCTGAAAAGGGACAAGGACAGCCAGGGAAGAAGACTTAAATTCCCAGCCAAAAAGCCATTCTGAAAAATCACCACGTGACAACAAGCTACAAAGCTTTCACTCACAGCTCAAGGCTCTGCCGGCAGCCAGTTAACCTCACTCCAACCAAGGTGATCCTTTGATCCACGTTACAGTGTCACCGGCCAGGGAACAGCACAAAGAAAATACCACCCAAAAAAAACAAGTGAGAGGGAGACCAAATCCTGAGCGTACTTTTCTGAAGTGTTGCCCTCTGGCTGTCTCTCCTTCCCTCCTACATTTTCTCAGCTGCGGGTCTGACACAAGGCACACTTGATTCTCTCTGAAAGCACAGCCTTCAGCACACGACCCATGGGGGGCCAAACTGTCCTCTAGGAAAGTCTCGAGTATATTTCTTCACTTTGGGAAATGATGCCAAGAACACTCCGAGGGTAGTGGCTGGAAGAGGTCATCTGGAACGTTACAGTTTTACTCTACTCCTTTACAACAGTATGCCCACAGTACAATTAAACCAGCTAACCTGGCTCACTTCACTCTGACACTTTCTGCAGAGACAATAAAAAAAAAAAAAAAAAAAAAAAAAAAAGTTTTGGCTTCAAGAGAATTTTCATCCCAATTATTTGCTCCCTAGACTCAGTGGTTTCAGAAGAACTAAAACAGAATCTTGATGACATCCTTTAACTAGAGTCGAAACACACATCTTGCAATGCATTTGCTTTCCAGTTAATTAACTCAACTCAGTAAGCTGATTTTAAATTATTTGCTATCAGCTTCCAGAAGGTGGAGACAGAAGAGCCACAGAAGTCAAGTAAAGACTTCTTCTCTTTTCCTCTTTTTTTTTTTTTTTTTTTTTTTTTGGTCCCTAGTTGGTTTGCTGAGCAAATTCAGCTTGCAGACAAAATGCAGTGCAACGGTGCAGACATCAAGTACTTCTCTCTAACCAAAAGTCTCAAATTTGGTTCTGCAATGCCAAGGAATTATTTCTGGAATACATTCGTTAAAGATTTCTTCTATTACGCTTACTTCAAGGCTGAGGCAGTCAGTGCACAGCACATTTAACTATTCTATTCTGATTCACATTCACTTAGAAATGCTTATCTTAATAATGGGTCCTTTCAGAAGGTTGAGGCAAAACCAAACAGTTATGAAAAGTGGGGTTTTTTTTCCCATCAGCTTAAGTGCTTGTTTCTAAAATACTCCTATTCCAGAGATAATTTCCATAATGAACAAAAAAAAAAAATCAGAGTAAATAGGCCTCCAGTGTTTTAGGAGCTAAACCACCTACGAGCTGGTTAGCCCCAGACCGAGGAGGTGCAGCTGCTACTCTAATACTGGCCCGTAAAACAACCTTCAGCAACTCCTGCCCTCCCTACTGCCCCGCAGCTTTCCTCGCTCTAGAGGTGGCAAAGGGCAGAAGTAGGATATTTATTTCTCTTCATCATGCTGCTAAACCAACTTTGTAAAGCATTATACACACAAGTAGGAATTGTGGAGAGACCATTACCCTTGAACTCAACAAATCTTTCACAGACAAGTCCAGAAGTGAAAGTCACCGAAAGCTGGTACGTGGGAAGCAGAGCACCAGCCCAGTCAAACGCTTTTAACAGCAACTTCTAGGAGGAAGCTGCATCCTTCAACAGTGACAAACATTTAACGTGGAATTACATGTGTGTGAGAAAAAATTACCTATGACGAACATAAGCTGTTAAGGAAAACTCTGGTCTGAACTACACATCAGATCCCTCGTTTGAATGTTTGAGGAGGAAAATAAACTGTAGTGCCTAAGAAATAGAAATGCTGCTAATACACAAAGACATATTATCTTTCTTTTAAAGCACCCGACCAGTCTATGCTGTAACAGCTCCCGTGACAGCTTTTCCATCGTTTCCCATCATCACATATAGATTTTGCTTACAGCATACATCCGGGTACCTCACTGAAAAGCTCGTTGTAAAACAACAGCAATCCTGGACTACAGCTGCAGAGCTGTTGGCTCGGCTGAAAAATCCCACAGCTCTTTGCAAGCTCCAGAATCCCTAAACTCGCCGTGGGACTCCTCCAGGCTGGGAAGCCATCCACACGTGGGTTTCTGACACTCTCCTCCAAAGTAAACGAAGACAAGACATTGGTGTTAAGTACAAAAGAAATAAGGATGGTCTCAGCAGCTTGCTGATGCCCGAGATGTTCTGTCCATGTGCTCTCCACCTAAATGGGGCCCCTTCAAGCATACTGCTAAAGTAATGGCATTTCTTAAAGATCCTGCCTTCTGATCTCCCTGGCATGACGGGCACATACATTGACATCACCCCCATAATTCTGGCTCAGTATCTAACAAAGCCAGTGACATTCTCCCCAGAATCAGAGCCCCTGCTCTTTTCAAAAAGCGTGAGAATATTTCATCTCTCCCTAGAAACTACAGCTGTTACCGAGCATTCAAACCCAAAGATGGGATCTTCATTCAGACAGATACTCAGCTCAACTCTTGTAGCGCTAAGGCCTCAGAATGACCAAACTGCTAAACAGATACTACAGTCAACAGCCTTAGAACGAGTCTGATTTAACCAATTCCTCACATATTTTAGGCTTTAACCTTGAATCTAGACTCAAGATAGGACAGAAATCCAAAGTTAGAGCTCTTTAAGGAAGAGAGCCACAATACCATTTGCTAAAGGCTATCCATGAATCTGAAAGATCACAAGTAAGACTTCGTCACAACAGTTTGAAGCACATCGCATTTTTGTAATTTAAACTGCTGGGTTTTGAATAAAAATCTCTGCAGGAGACTGCAAAGACTTACGCTTCAGAAGACTTTTAATTTTGGAAAACATTTTTGTTATGCAAAAGAAAATGCAGATGCTTTTAATCAGAATGGTTTATTTTAAACTGAGAAAAATATAATCTCTCCGCGAGAGCACTACGTGTGCATGTCTCCTCTTTCTGGCTCTGCTGAACTGAACACCAAATGGCTGCCAGTCTTTGCAGAACACCCAGATCTTTAGAGGAGTTACACATATAGTACTAGGACAGTGGTAACAGTGATAGACTACGTACAGCCTTCAATAATTAATTGGAAACTAATCTAAGTCAGTCACTGACAGCAGTGAGCGTGCACCAAGATGCTCCTTGCCAAGAGAGAAAGTCATGTACCTGAAATTTACAGTCCTTTCAAAAACCTTGTCAGAAGTCGAGTTTTCAATTGCTCTAAATCTAATTAGTAGAACAGCTTATTAGACAGAGATATTACAGCATCACAGCTAATACAGCAAAGCCCTCCCTTGCCCCAACAAGCTCAGTTACTTTCCTAATGCTCAGTGTTCTCATGCTTCACTCCGAAACACGTGTTCTGTAGACTGGCAACAGATCCATTCTGCAAAAATAGCAGCATATGCTGCTGAAGGGATCTTGAAGAGATACTGAATTAGAGGACAATATCTCTTTGTTGTGGATTAACTCTTTACAGCACAGCCTCTCACTTGTAACAGGACTGGTTAAACACAGCTGCCCCGCAGAGGTTCCACAACTCCCTTGATACACAAGGAAATGCAGCCCTAGGAGCAAAGCGCATTTCAGAGGCAGAGAAGCTCAATGCTTGATTTGGTCTGATCCAGATGAAAACTTGGGTTATCCAGCTCTCTGCTCCAGGATTAAACTTTAAAAACTCACTGTTCTGCTTATCACAGCGCTGTGAGGAAAAGAGAACACGATAATACTGGGAAGATCTACTAACAGTTAATTCAGCCCTACAAGTTTTCCACTCGAAGCAATTTGCAGAATTGAAGCCTATACTCCCACTATCAGCTGGCATAAAACTCAAAGCTTTAAGTATTCAATTTTCTTTTCGAAGTAGGCTGGGAAATCCTAACTTTAATTGCTCTGTTAACTCGTGATTTTAAGATTTTTAGACTACTTTACAATTATCTTGAAAAAAAATCATTCTTAAATATACACAGAATAAAAGAGAGGGGGGCACATCAGGAAAGACAGTTTCATCATCAGTGTTGCATTGTTGCTGGCACTGCAAAAGCAGTAGGGGAATACCCTTAAAAACACACCCAAACCCCCCCACAAAGCCCCAGCCAATAACCATGAAAAGGTTTGTATTAGTCTTGCACCTAATGTGGCACATGTTAAAAAAAAAAAAAAAAAAAAAAAAAAAACCAAAAACAAACCACACCAAACAAACAAACCACCAAGCCCCGACTTGAGCTCCAAATTTCAACCTCAAGTCACATTTATGTACTAGAAAAATTACCAAAAATAAACTCAAGTGAGTAGCTAATATTGGCTCTAATTCCATTTCTAACATGCAGCAAGTCCCTTGAAATAACAAAGCTGTAGATTTTAACCCTAAGTCAGGCCCATAAAATGATGACAAATACCAGCTCTTGTCCAGACAGCATCCAACTATCTTTTTTCATGTGCTACAGCATTTTAATGCTATTTTAATGTAAGAAGGCCTGCATACACTAGGTCAAGATAAACATCTGGAAGAAACAACAGTTTACTGCAGAGTAAGAGCTTCAGCAGTTTAGGAATCAGCCATCTGAAAAGTGATTTTTCGGAGTGAAAAGTAGTCTAAGCCTGGAAAACACTTCAGGAATCATTTATTAAGTGGTGGGTTCTTAAAGAATGAGATGCACACTTCCCTTTCAGAAGTTAACAGGTTACCACCTGTTTGAATCAGATGGTGTCAAGCACATCTTTAATTTGCAAAAGCATCCTCTTGGCCGCAAAAGCCATGGGTGCATCGGTTGGAAGCAGGGAAGTTAATGAAGCGTTATCTCCGAGAAATATACCCAGCGGTCTGGACGCCCTCATCTCTAGCATTGGGAGGACTTGAGAAAAAATTGGTTATTCACTAAAGGATATAACTTTTGGATGAGGTTTTATTTTATCCATGTGAGGCAGATAGACATAAATCTCTGTCAATTTGTCCTCCTCTAATCCGTATCTTAAACCCTGAATAGCTGATTAATGAGCTA